CATGGCAATAAGTGTCCGGGCTTGCTACGGGGATTTACTTACGTTTAGGGTTTAGGGCGGGTATAGGGGTAAGTTTGCAACCTCAATTCATTAAATCTTGGATTTCAGGAACTACCCGACCAAACAGGAGCATGGCAATCCGGTAATTCTCATATTAATCGAGGCCCCATGAAGGTCTAGTTTCCTAAACCCTAAACCCTGATGTACCCTTTTGCAGCGGGCTTGCCCCTGATGTACCCTAAACCCTAAACCCTAAACCCTGAACCGTGTCTCCTGCCTGACGGCCCAGATGTAAGACCGCCCATCCAGCGCCTCGAGGCGTGCCAAGGCTACAGGCTTTGAGGGCCGTGTGGGCTTGATCTAAGGGTTGGGTTTTGGGGTTTAGGGTTTAGGCTTTGGGTGTTTATAGGGTTTGGGGGTTTAGGGTTTAGGGCTTGATCTAAGGGTTTTGGGGTTTGGGGTTAAGTGTTTGGGGTTGATGTAATTAAGCGTGGTTTTGACCCTCTCGCCTGGCGATATGAGCGTTTTGGGTTTATAGGCTATATAGGGTCTAAGGGCTTACATAACGGTTGTTGCAAGGGCTTTGCAAGGTGTTTGTAAAGGCTGTATACGGGTCTAGATTTTAGGGCAGTTTGGGGTCCGTTTATCCCACATACTCTAAGGACTCATATTTTAGGGCTTTTGGGGCCAAAGACCAAACTACATAAGGCTTTTGGGCCATTTTGAGCCTTCGGGTAAGGTTTAGGAGTTAGGGCTCGGCGTTTCCGCTTCTTGGCTTCGGTTCTACAGCGCGATGGCTCGTTGAGTCGTAGGACAAACTTGTTTAAGGCCTTTGGGCGTTCCCTTGGGGGAGACTTTCAGCTTGCACTCCGGTGCCTGGGAAGTCGTAGCTGATTTGATGCTGGTGCACGTCTGGCTCCTGCATGAGTCCGCAGAATATCAGACGGCAGCCTCGCCAGCTTCGTCCCAAAGCCATGTTGAAGGTCACCTGCGGCGCATCGTCATGATCCCTTCAAGGGTACCTAGATTCTTCATTGTAGTTTCTTTTTGGGGATACCGTCTAAATTCCTTAATATATAGTTGGTTAAACCAAATAAAGGAACTACAATGGAGACTGTAGGTAGGTGGCTGTCAAAATTATGGTCCGTTTTTGGGTCTTTCTTATAATACGGCACCTATTATTTAGGGTACCCCAAAAGGGACAATAATTTTGACAACTACCCAGGTAGCTCTTATCATCTGTTATCCACCGCCGGCTATGCACTCGCAGGCAGAGTAGAGTCCCAGGGTGCAGCACACGATTGCTAAAGTGTACCGAACCGAATGCTGCATGATAGCATTGTGACCCAACTGCTACCTACTATACTTTCTGGTTCATGTGCCTCAGTTTTTTCAGAAGAAGCGTAGCTGAAGATTCCCTGAACCCTACAATTGAGACCTCAAACCCAAACACCCTAAAACAAATCAAAATCCTACAAGCCCTATTTAAACCCGAAAGACCCCGAAACCCTCGATTTCATTTCTTGAGGCCTCCGAATCGTCACGGTGCGGTGGAAGATCTTGATCACCACGGCCCGCCTCTGGCCGATAGTGGACCTGAAAGTTGACTTCACGCACATCCGGCCCTCTCAATCAGTCTCGTGCCATGTAAGGTTCCACATACCTATGGAGTATGTACTTGGAGTACCTGTGTAGAAACCCCTTTCAGGACTACGTATATACCACATTGTTTTTGGAACACCTTTATAGGAACATCTTCAAGTCCTAAAAGCATATACTACATGCTGTAAAATACCGATATAGGAACCTTTAAAGCCTAAGTATGTACTACCCTTTTTGCAACAGGCTTTCCACTTCGCCCGGAGTTGGAGCTACCCTAAACCCTAAACCCTGAACCCTAGGTAGATGGAGCCTTCCGGTTGGCTTTCGACCTGCGCAGCTCCGGCACTGTGCCAGAGGTTCACCAGCTCCACAACATAAACATCGTATCATATCTTGTCATATAGTATAATAGAGTATCGTGTAATGGAATAGGGAATTGCTATGATCTAACTTTATATATCTGTTTCTGTGTATATCATTTCTCTGATGCATATTTCTTTTGCTTCGGGACTCCATGGATTTGCCCGGGGCACAGCCGCTTTGCTTTCAGCAGCCATGCCAAGAAAACAACCACCCCATTCGATTACGAAAGAGGCGACATAGGCCGACGGCCTACAAAACATGTTTACCATGCAAACCGAGCGCACAACTGCTGGACAGCCCTGCGTGACACAGGCGTCAGACCGCTCAGACTCAGACGTGAAAGAAGAGACAAGCGGAGATGGTGAGCACGCGGATGGAAGCACATACAACTCAGGCCATATCGCCAGTACTGGGGACTGCCACTGTAGCGGCAAAACTTCAAGGGTGACCACGGCGTCATCCGTAATAAGCCGCGTGTGAGATGTAAGCAAAGCACCCTCATCATACCATATATATATATATATCTCTCTCTCTCTCTCTCTCTCGTTATCTATTTATTTATACTTTTTCTCACATAAGTATCGAATCGCCCGGCACGTGGATGGCAACCTCAACATCCGCTGTACCAGAGCAACTCCGGAACTGAAGCCCTCAGCAGCTGCCCAAAGCCCAAAACCCCAAAAAAAACCAAACCCCAAAACCCTAAAGCCCTAAACCCTAAACCCTTAACCTTACAGCCCTAGAAGAGTTAGGTGGGAACGCTTTGCACCTTAGGGAGCCAATCTAAATCCTAAACCCGAAGACCGACGCAAAACCTAAATCCTTAACCCGACCCCCCATTCAAAACCGGACAGTTGGTCTGAAGTCTAAGCTTTTGCCGTAGGGAAAAGAGGACATAGCTTAGAGGGTTCAGGGTTTAGGGTAGGTGCCATAATTAATAACAGCTCCAAAAAAATTCACGACACTCTATTATGTACTGTAGGTGCTTAGGGCCCTTCGGGGAGGGAACTGGAATGTCAGTATATTCAAAAAGGGTGCCACGAAGGCGTGATGGCCATCCAACTCATCGCCGATGTTTGGGAAGAGCGCTCTGGCTAGCGGCAAGAGGACCTGCCTGTGTGTGGTTTAGGGTCTCGGGGAATCAACGCACGACCGCGTTAAGAACCATGGATATCAAGGACTCCCTCTACAGGGAGATACCGTTAGCCCCGTGACAGACGGTGTTATATAATATATGTAAATACACCCATATTTTTGAAACATCCATACTTGCATTTATGCATGCATGCATATGTGAAAGAAAGCAGTACAGTAAATCGCCGAGTGCTACCGTACATTACATACATGAGCAGACAGATAAGTGAGCACCTGGGTGTGTAGAACTGGAGTCCAGCTGTGCGGTTGTTGCCTCGCGAAGGTTTGGCAACTTAGAACACTTGGAGGGTCGGGGGACTTAGTAAATGGTTATTTTATAGACTTAGAAGTACTATAACCCCAATTAGGGTCCCTTTTAGGGAACCTATACGTCTACTTATTACCTACTTTCTAAGTCTCCCGACCCTCCAAGCAGCCACTGTCGTGCTTTGTCGATGGAACATGCCTGCTCCAGTTATTCTGACACAGAGTCGCTTGACGGCCGAGCAGTGCTCCTTGTCAACTGGCTGTTCAGTGTGCGTGTGTGGGTGTTAACTTAACACTTGACCAGGGGCATCATGAGCAACAACCGAAAGTCTACAGCCATCGTCTACACTGCCGAACCTTCAAACTTAAGTCTGTGGCTTACATCCTTGCCTCTGGAAGTCAGCCACTGCGAGTGCCAGCCCCATCTCTTCTAGTACTGCTCCATAACGATTCATGGAGTTTGGCCTTTCCGGGTCGGATGGGCGGCCTATCTCTTCCTCCTTCTACCTCTCGTATATATATATATATATACATACATGAGTAAGTATGTATATATATACATTGAAACATATGTATATATATATATATACATATACATACATATATATATATATAACATCTTTCTCAATAAGGCGTGTCGGGGTATGTAATTCGCTCGCGTTTTTCGTGGGACTGTGGAGGTAGAAGCTTGCAGACAGAAATAGATTCAAGGTATTCTCTGAGAACCCCTAAGGACTGCTCTGAGGGTTTAGGGTTTAGGTTTTAGGGTTTAGGGCTTGGGGTTTAGGGTTTAGGGTTTGGGGTTGGGGTTTAGGGTTTAGGGTTTAGGGTTTGGGGTTTCGGACAATCCAGGTGAGGCATGTGGTCTTGGGGGTGGGTTCAGGGAGACTCGACCAATCGGGATACGAATGCAAAGAGCCGACATGAACTCAACCAACTTGCAAGAACGCCAACCGATCTTCTAAAGCAAACAGGTCCTTTCAAAACGGACCTCATTAACAATATGTTGGACCGAAGGACAAACCCCAAAGCCCTAAAGGGGGCCTGGCAGACTTGAGGCCGGAGGCATAAAAGGATGTGAGCTCCTCGAGGAAGATGCGGCAGAAGTCAGCTGTCATCGCCGGGAAGGCGTAGACATTCTTGCTTATCTCCTGCCACGAAACTCTAAACTGGAAGTACACACGGGCAGAATGTGTAGGCGGTTTGAGCATGTTCGGGCTATTCGGTATGCCGTCGGCTGACATTTTATCCGTGCCGGCAGGGTTGCTTCCGATGCCCAGCCATGCAACCATCTACCACATGAGAATGATAACATTGAGAAACCAGGGTTCATGTGCCCATTGAGCTGACATCCCGAAAATTACTATTGTTACTATGTAGAAAACCTTTTTCAGGTCAGCCACCCTCAACCCTAAAGCCTTACACCTTGAACCGTGCATAGAACATACCCCCAACTACCATAACCTGCTTTCTCAGGATCCGACTACATACCGTTACATACACTCTACAAGGGGGCCTACAAAAACAAACAGTTCAGGGGATGTAAACCTACGACGTGAGAGACAGAGCGACAGCGAAAAGACTACGCAAAGAGACCCACCAGGCGCCTCGATTGAAACATAGGAAGGGCCAAGGGGCGTAGATAACCCAGTAGTCAGTAATTCTCCCAAGTACTCCCTTGAGGATCCTATAAACTACAGGATCTCGAGCTTCCAAGAGCAGTGCCGAAGAAACCCCAGGATAAGGATAACAAGGGGTCTGCGCTTTAAAGTTTGATTGGTATTCCTGGTGCTATGTGAGACTGATGGCAGTATACTCGTGCCTGTTGGAGCCATCTCCAATCTGGGATGATTGATTTCGGGCCCTAAAAAAATTTGTTTTGTGGGAAGCCTCTCCTCCACGTGTAGTCTGCGCAAGAGCCTGCGCGGCATGTCGGCCGTGACGTGCTTAGATACCTGTGCAGAAAAGGCAGATTTGGTGCGCCAAATCGGACGGATTCGGCCCTCGAAACCACCTGATTTCCGCTTCGGTGTAAGGTTTAGGGTTTAGGGTTCTGATTTCCGCTTCCCAGCATGTGCAGCACTTGGTGCGATCGACCGTGCTTGCAGCAGCAGCCAAACGGGAATGAAGAACATCGCAAAGCTCATCGTTTTCAATCGTGAGCTGGTTTGCATCTTCAACCATGGGCAAACGACTGCCAAGCCACTATCGAGGCAGCTTTTTATTTGATGTGCACTGGCTTGAGCTTCTGGAATTAATGGTGCTTGGCTGCAAAGGCGCGTCTCATCTTGTAAAGAACTAACTAGAAGAGGGTGTTGGGTTATATACTCTAGTAACTATAAAAAAAGGCACCATAAAAGGACATTTTCACTAGCCCGAAGAGTCCTTTTTCACAAATCATGATTTTATTGTATTCCTAATATAATCCAACAGTCCAACAGTCTACCATACAGGTACTTAGGACCCTTTGCGTCTTTGTTTAAATCCCCAGCTTGGTCTGCTCTTCCTCGGCCTAAAATCGCAATTTGCTAGGACGGGTGCATAAAGCCCAGAGCCCCAAACCAAGTGCCATAGTTCCGCAACTCCACGCCAAGGTAGATGAGCGCAGATATCCAGTCTCGGACTAGCATCATTGCTGCACAATCATAACTGGATTTCTCCTCTCTGTCGCTCTCTGTCGTTGTCCTTCTGTAGGCTCAGGAAGCTTGGCATTGCCGCACCCAAGCACCCTCCGCCCCTAGCCAATTTGGGTGCCCGGTTGGTCTGCCACCGTGTGAGATGCCTGGCCTGCCCCTTCCCATGTGACCAAACCTGTGTTGGTTCATGCCCTTGTTGCACCTGGGCAAAGAAGCCCTAAACCCTTTTGAACGCAGGCTCTGATCATCAGCTGCCCCAAGCCCTTTTTTTGAGCAGGGACTGCAATGCACTAAGCCCTGAATCCCTTCAGCCAAGCTCCTGACTCCAGCGCTTATGGTAGAGCACGTGAAGCATGTTGCACTGTCTGCAACCACTGATCTGGGACTACCCTAAACCCCTAAACCGTACACCCTAAACCCCTTAAAGCCCTAAACAATACACCCTGAAACCTACCCCTCTCCCTCTCCCTCTCCCTCTC